ATCATCATTAGCTCTGGCCACGTCACATAAACAGCCGGTGCTGATTGGACCCATCACGTTAGTATTTTCCAATCAAAATTGGCCGGAAGGATTGCATTTGTAAATCGTTAAAAGGTTAAAACTGAATTGGTACAAGTGCAATATATTTATGAATGTTTTGGTAATTTTTCCCATTGTTAATTAATGCCTTCCATTAGTTTCCATTATGTTAACAATGATATATAGAAAGCAATAATATATTAATCCCGATCGCATAAACATTATCCTCAATTACGTTAAGTAGATTAGATTACCAAATTAAATAATTCATTGGAAACATTATCAATACAAAACGATTTAAAAGATTAAATTGGAAATGATAAATTTATGGATGAAACAAAAACAAAAAAGACTTGATCTCAATACAGCATATATACGTAACAGTTGATTTGATGCCTGGGAGGGAACTTAATTTGAAATTTGGAAATCTCGAAAACGCAATCAATGTCCAAGTAAAGATAAAAAAAAAAAAGAGAATGATATGATACTGCCACCACTTGTAACTTCATCTACAAAAGTTAATGGTCAACTTTTTTGATTTCATGTACGATCCTCCCGAATTCAAGGAAAATGTTGGAAATTATCGGCTCTTAATTTTCTTATATATGATTTGTTTTTCTTTTACATATAATATAAACATTATCTGAGTGTAAAAAGAAACAAAGGAGTGATCATTTTCGAATTAATTATTTTGTCCACTAGTGTAAATAGAGCTATTTAAGAGCACCTATGAAGAAGCAAATTATCTGGCAAATGATATCGGAATCTACTAATTATGAGCGACATGCAGAGATTGCCATGCATTAGGGACATTTAGACTTATGTATGATTGTGTTTGTGTTTTGGAGAGAACTGTCGTGCGAATCATTTGAACACTTATAATTTCTTTACACTGTGCATGGTTAGGGTTTGACCAGATGCATGCCCGACTTTCTTTGAGTGCTGCCTCATTTCTCGCAACATGTATGGTCTCCAATCTACCTGAGCGTGATTGCTTATTGAAAAGATAGAGATGATTTTCTAGGGACAAAAAGTTTCATGTGGAGGAACCCTAATTAAGATGGCTAATCAGGATGAAATGTATCTGTTTCACCAAAATAGTGTCCATGAAATATCTTTCGAAATATAGATGGATTAATGAGTGAATCAATAAAGGTTCTGAAGGGTCCTTTATTGATTTTTTACAGGAAAGTAAATAACAAAAATATTAAAGGTACAAAAACCGTAGGCAATCGCGGCCAACCATGTATATTGCAGGAAAGTAAATATAAAAGATAAATTTGCGACAACGTTGAACTCTTTGATAGTTTGAAGGGGTTCAAAAAGAGTACACTTTGGGTATTTATAACTCTTTACTGACGGCTACAAAAAGTGGTTACATACAACACTTACTAAAAAAGAAATAACTTCCTAATCCTATGGGTGTGTACAAGAATTTACAATCTCTTATTATCTAACCATACTTATGCACAAGAAGTTACATATTCGAAAATATCGCTACGTAGTAATTACATGTCGATGTCGATGACTTCATCCCTAGTGAAGGTTCTCATCCCTGATATTTGTTGTCGACAACTTTATCAGAGTACTCGATTTTCCTTGAATTATCGATTATCTTGTTCATCGATGACTTTTGTCCACCAAACTTTTTTATTATCGACTAAGTCTATCACTTGTCGATTATAACAAAAAAATTGGTCATTTTTTAGTGTCATAATATGTCCCCTTTTAAAGGAATGGAATAATTCATCGATCATTCAATTCTTTTAAATTAGATAATCAAAAGTCACATATGCCCCCTTGTCATTGGCAAATTTAACATTTCCTTATTGAATTGTTTTTTTGAAAACAATACAAACAAATGTGCTATGGCTTCGTGAATTGTGTCGCTCAAAATATTTTTTGTTTACCAAATCTTCTTTAATCGAGATAACTTGGCTTTTCGTTAATTTTTATCATGCTATCTTTTAAGAGTAAATCGAAGATTTGGTCCCACTTATTAGTGTTGAACAAGTAAACTTGAGAGTCTTTAGCCCAAAACATTCTTGTTTCTTTTATTTTGGCAGGTTTTAAAGATCAACAAATGTAAGGCTTTTTGTGCATCATTTTTGCCATATTTATTTCAATGTTTTCATTCGGGTCAGATTCATACTCTTACTCATGATTTTCCATTAAAGTCATGTTTTTGTAAAGCCTTGATGTGGCCTTTCTCTGTCTTCTACAAATTGCTCATACTTATACACTCGCATTACCCATTGAAATAACTCGGCAAAGTCTTGGCCTTCAAATCTTTCTCATAGGTTAAATTTTAACCCAATGAAAGCCAAATTCATGAATGTTCTATCTAAAACCAAAGTGAGGCATATATTTTTAGCCTTCTTAAACCGAGCAATAAGCTGATGACTGACTCACAATTATACTAATAAAGTTTAGCCAAATCAACGATTGATACTTCAGATATCGTTCTATAAAATTGAGAATGAAATTTGCTTTTCATTTTTGCCCAATTATACACAGTGGTAAATTATTGTAACAGGTAAAAGCAATTTTTGATAAAGACAAAGGAAATAATCTAAGTTTTAGAAACTCATTTATCCCTGCTTCCCCATGTTGGACTATAGATCAAACAATATGTTCGATGGTTGATTATTCATCTTCACCAATAAAAATGGAAAAGTCAAAGGTTTTGAAACTTCTTGGAAAGGGCTAATTATCGACCCATTGGGGATGCGATTTCCTACACATGTATGAGAACACCATTGTCTAACCCCAACTGTTGCCAAACTTTTTCGACAAACTGTGAGGGTTTAAGAGTGGATTTGATTGGCCATCTTGCCCCGTAACCAATGATGTTGGTCTTATCGAATTATTTACTTTAATCGACATGTTAGGCCCAACAAGAATATTCATATTAGGTGGTACCAATGGAGTCACTGGACTTACATTTTCAACATTTGGCAGTTGACTGGCTTGTTGACCAATTTGGTTTACCATATTATTGTTACCAATATGGTTGTTTTGACCAACATTATCCTGGTTATTCTCATTATTCTGGCCTTTGCATAATTCTTATAGGGCGTTGACTACGTTGACCAATATTATTAGCATCAATCAATGGAGAAAGACTAGTAACATACTCGTTGAACGATTCTGACCATGAGAGGGTTTCATTCACAATATTGATGACGATCAACTTGATCATGTTGGATATATGACTCACAATGAAGTTTGCCATATCATTGTGCTGCTCTTCGAACATTCTTCTCATTGTTGACACCATGTTTGGATTTGGTGAAACTTCTCTTAACTACTCATTAGTGTGATGCATTAGAAGATCAACTTCCTCACGTCAATCATTTTTTGCTGCTTTCCTAGCAACTAAAGTATCTCATTACTAGTTTGTGGCAATAAATGGTTGTTGCCAGCAGAAGTGTCGGACTCTTGTTGATTTATGGTTCTTGCCATCGTAGTGTCCTTCAATCAATAAAATGTGTCCCATTGAGTGTGTCGATCAAATATCTTTCGAAGTATAGATGGATCAATAAGTGAATCGACAAAAGTTGTGATGGGTCCTTTATTGATTTTGAACAGGAAAGTAGATGGCAAAAAAATTAAAGGTATGAACATTGAAGCAATTGCGACCAGCCATGTAAATTGCAGGAAAGTACAAATAAAATAGAAATTTGCAAGAACGTTGAATTCTTTGATTGGTTAAGAGGTTTACAAAGAGCATACTTAAAGTGTTTATAACCCTTTACCGGTGGTTACAAGCGGAGGTTACATACAACGGTTACTAAAAAAGGAATAAATTCCTAATATTATAGGCGGATACAAGAACTTACACAATCTTCTATTATCTAGCAATACTTATCCCAAACACATGACATACTTGAAAATATCGCTACTCAGAAATTTCATATTGATGTTGATGTTAATGACTTCATCCCCGGTGAAGGTTCTCGTCGATAAATTATGTTTGTTGTCGATAACTTTATCAAAGTTGTCGATTCTCTTCAAGTTTTCTACTGTTCTAATCATTGATGACTTTCATTCACCAAACTCTGCTATTGTTGACTAAATCTGTCACTTTATTGATTATAATGATCATTTTTTGGTGTCAACAGTATCGAAGTATAAATCGCAAATTGGAAAATACTACATCGATCATCATATTCTTCTCTCATATTAGGATGAACTGTATCTACATGTCTTGATGATGATCTTTTAATAATATCATTCATCATATACGAGTTTAATGAATTTTTTTGTCAAATACGAGCCCAATACAATATTTGATTATTTACCATCAATACTTGTCGAATATGAGTCAAATATGAAATAGGTATCACTGATTGTCGAACTCTTTCAGAATCCTGCCATAAAAATTATTTTCAACATTTCTTAATAAAATATGCATGATTCTATTATTTATTGTACATCAACTGGAGACTCAATACGCTTAATCCCTTATTTCTTGTACATTCGATGATATATTTATTACCAAAATTTGCATAAATTTAGATATGCAGATTAGAGATTTGCTAAGATTAAAGATTTGTTAAAGTGACCATGAAAACAAAAATATCAGTTACAGCTTACTTGAGAACAAATCATGTGACTCAATCTCGGACAAGCTTTACTCATGAATAGGTTTGCATTTGGCAATGGGGGAACAAGAAAATCCGCGTGGCCAAAAATTTCGTTCCTCTGTTCTTGTCCGAAGAATCAAGACTTCACGAGAAGAAATAAGAAACAAAAAACCAGAAAATTTAGACACCATCGTATTCGTTCCATAATGCCTGCAATCATTGTTCTTGGTTGCTTCACCCGCATGCCCCCCATTCCTTCACTTCCCCTAACCCACTTACTCTCTCTCTCTCTCTCTCTCTCTCTCTCTTCCTCCACCTATAAAAACTGTCCACCTCCCACTTCTCTCTCACTTCCAAACCTTTCACATTTCACACTATTACTTTCTCTCTCTCTTTCTCTCTCTCTCTCTCTCTCTCTCTCTCAAACCTTACCTTAACTTCCCAGAAAAACAGACCATCTTGCCTCAAACTTTTTTATATTCTTTCTTCTGTGCTAAAATGGCTGCTTCTGGTTTTGAGGGCTTTGAGAAGCGCATAGAGCTCCACTTCTTCGGCGACGACCCTTTATTCACGGGCTCGATGGGTCTCAGAAATCTGGACTTCGAGTGCTTGGAGGAAGTACTCCACGCGGTGCAGTGCACGGTGGTCTCGGCCGTGGCCAATCGCCACTTTGACGCCTACGTTCTGTCGGAGTCGAGCCTCTTCGTCTACCCGACCAAGATCATCATCAAGACATGTGGGACCACCCAGCTGCTGAAAGCCGTCCGTCCGTTGGTCCACCTGGCCAGCGATCGCCTCGGCCTCACGGTGCGCATGTGTAGGTACACCAGAGGTAGCTTTATCTTCCCCAAAGCCCAGCCTTTCCCTCACACAAGCTTCGAAGAGGAAGTCATCTTCTTGGAGGAGAATTTGCCGAGCAGGCTTTGCTTTAGAAAGGCCTGTGTCATGCCCTCCAATGTGTCCTCTCATTCGTGGCATGTCTTCACTGCTTGTGATGGTGATGATGATGATGACTCATCTCATCATCATGAGCTAGGGGAAGATCATAATGATGCCCTCTACACCATTGAGGTGTGCATGACCGAGCTCGACCGGGCTTCGGCTCGTAAGTTCTTCCGTAGAGGGGCAGGGGATGATGAGAAGTACTCTGGGGACTCTGTCGGGAGGGAGATGACAGGGCTCACTGGGATCGGAGACATCAATCCGAGGGCTCTCATTTGTGATTTCGGGTTCGATCCATGCGGGTACTCCATGAACGGAATCGACGGCGACCGTTACTCGACAATACACGTGACCCCTGAGGACGGGTTCAGCTATGCGAGCTATGAATGCGTCGGGTCGATCTACGATGACCCGCATGAAATTTCTAGGGTTCTGAAGAAGGTGGCGCAGGTCTTCCGACCTGGGACAGTGTCGGTGGCTACTACTTGCGCTAGCCACGACGTGTGGAGAAGGGTGGCCAAGGCCCTAGAGCTTGTCGGGCTCAAATGCCGGAGTTGCTCGGCCGACGAATTCCCTGCCGCCGGGACCATCGTCTTCCAAACGTTCACGACGACCCGCCGTAAGTGAGAAGCGCTGGCAAAGTTCTCCGGTTAGAAGGTAGAGAGTTTGAGAGGGGTAAAAAGGAGTAATTATGAGAGAGGGAAGGGGGAATGACTAGGGTTTTAGAACAATTGGGGGGGGGGTTGTTATGGATTGATTAAATTATGTTCATGGGACTCGAGATGGGTAATAACGTTATTGGGTGATGGGTTATGTAGTTAGCGAGGGATAAAAATGGGAGAGAGAGATCTTTACCAAAAAAAAAAATGGGAGAGAGAGAGAGAGAGTACTAAGAAGATAGAGAGATGATGTTGAAGTTGAGAGAGAAAATGGGGAGGATCATGTACATCATGATAATGCTCCCACTCAGGTTTGTCACGCCTAAAAGATCATTCGAGGTTCTTTGTGTAGTGGCTAAGTGTCGATGTGGAGGGATTGTAAGAGAGGAATTTGAATTTCCCTTCACTTTTTATTTTGATTAAAGCTGTCTTTTTCCTCTCTCTCTTGCACTTTTTCTTCTCGTTCTTTCTTCTCTCATCGTTTTTCTTTCCATCGTACCTTGTTTTGTCGTTCTCTCCTAGATTCTTCGTAAACAGATGATCAGATTTTCCAATCCTCAAGAATGTTAGTTCTATGACAATCCCTTGGAATGTCTGTTTCTTCCACCTATTGAGTCGTTGGAGCCATAATCAACCTGGAGCAAGCACAAAAGTTTTCAAGGAGTTTCATCGCTAGCAATGGCGTTTCTTGAACTTGTCGTGGATATTTTTTTAGGATGACATTCTTTTTTATAATTAAAAGAGTGAGAAGGGGAGATCAGTTGGGATGACACTGCACATAAACATGTGCTCTCTTCATAGAACCATACAGACAAATAAGTACTTAGGTCAAGCTTTTTATTTTGTGAGCCTTGGGAGGTGTCCAACTCGTTGCTGATATAGATTCATGATGTGGTTTGAATTCTTTAATGAATTTTGAGTAAATGTTATATATACTAAGAAGCAAGAAGTTCATGAAAAACTAGTTCACTAGATAAATGATATGACGAGATGAATTGGATAATAAAAACAAGGCTCATATTCATTTTTTTTTAATCATTTAACAAGACCATATTCAACTTCTGTCGGATCACCTAATAATTCAATTTCTGTAAATAACCTTCTTTGCACCTAGTATTACTCTTTTACATACTCGAATTTTGTAAATGGGGTCGATTTTAGATCCGCCTATTCACATTTCTGTCCCTCTTTCTAATGTGGACATCTGCTTCAAGATTCTTCGCCCTCGGATTCATAATTAAACCATCGACAAGAATAAACATCCATGGATCTCAAAAGAGATTTTGTTTATCTAGGTTAAAAAAGTTGCCATAAGACCACAAGGCCGAAAAGGCCCACTAAAAGCAACCAAAGGATCACAAGGCCCAAGACCGAATACATGACCATGGTGAACCTCAGGCCTGCCAATGGCCTTGGACGTGTGTAGCAAATCAATATACGGAACCTGAAAAGCTTCCTTATCTATGGAGAAAATATACGGTGGTTATTGTATCATGTAGGGGTGAGCATGATATCAAGGTAGAACCAAAAATTCAAGAACCAGACCAGTTCTCACCGGTCCGATTTCAGGTTTTAGGACATACAGGGTAGGTTTCGGGTTCAAAAAATTAAGTAATCTATTTCAATGATCAAATTCCAGGTAGAGGAACAAGTCTTTATGTTTTTCTTGTTTAATGTTTTCGCACGATCATGCAGCATTCCATGGCATCTAATGATGAGTCTGTAATCTGAAACTACTAGTATGAGTTTTTATTCCCGACGATATCAATGACTAAGACTTTTACTTTGTTAATTTTTTATATTATTTGTGTGTATAAAAATGAGTTGTGATGAGTGGATTATAGCAAATGGTGGTAATTAGAAATGATGATTTACTGAAATCATTCAATTAACAAAACTAGTGAAACGTGGGTAAACCCCGAAACCTGTGTCAGGGTAAGTTTTAGGTTCCTAGGCATGCATGGTAAGTTCAAGGATTTAAAAATTAGGGAACCTGTTTCAACCAGTAAGTTTCAAATTATAGATGGAACCACTCACCGCTAATATCATGTGGAGAGATCGGTTTATAAAAAAGGAGAGTTTCAAAATTCAAACATAAGAGCTAATTGCGATGCATATTGCGCGGGCAATGTGATTGAACAATTAATCTACTTCGGCTATATGACCATCATATGAAATATGTTTTCCACATTGGTGATAGTGGCGACCGTTCGGGGAATGAAAATTGCATTCGATGGCAATAATCAGGGTTACTTGACCACTGCACACTACTAGGTAGGAATATCAATGGTTTAGTTTGGTTCGGATTTCTAGAAAATTCAAACCGAACCAAATCGAACAATTTGGATGTGTTCTTGCTCCGAGCCAAAATGCGACACGAACCAAATATGATCCAAACAAAAAATGCGGTTTGATTCAAATCGAATCGGTTTTCGATTTTCCTTTTTTTTTTTTTTTTGGCGCTTCTTCCCTTTGCACCCTCCCTTCCTCACCTAGCAACAAGACCACATTGTCACCGAACTCGCCGTCGCCCCCTCGTTGCAGCTGCGAGCTTCCCCGAGTACGAGGAGGCGGTGGTGGCTGATAAGAAGCTCCCGAAGGAGGGGGCTAGCGACAAGAAGAAGTGGGGCGAAGAGGAGCGTCGTGATGTACAAGATCTACATCTTCAAGGTGCTGAAGCAAGTCCACCCAAACATTGGCATCTCAAGAAAGGCCATGACCATCATGAACAGCTTCGATTGGATCGAAGAGAGACGAGATGGAATCTGGGTGATGCTGGACCTGCTGTTGCGGGTGGTGGTGATGGGATTGACTGAAGCTTGTTTCTTGGTGGGTCCGCGAAAATGGCTTGTGGGGTTTTTGAGAAGGAGGAGGAGGAGGTTGGAGGAGGCGCAAAATGAGGGCTTCGACGAGCGGGTCTAACAGTGGCTGAGGCGGTGCGTGGTGGGGTGTGCTGGAGTGGGAGTAGTAGTTGCTGCAGCAACAAGGGGTCGGGGGTGGCGGCACGTGGTGGCGGTGAGCCATGTGGGGGAGAGGCGGAAGGAGGGGAGAGGTGGTGGATCTAGGGGTGATTGAAATCCAATTATGGGAGCTTATGACAATCAATCCTTGTTCCGGTACTACTGACCATTTTCCATCTTTTTCTACTAGGGAGGGAAGAGGAAGAGAGAGAATAAAACACAAAAGGGAAAGAGAGAGGAAGTGAGGAAGAGGAAAGAAGAACGCGAGTGTGAAGTTAGAGGAAGAGAGAGAATAAAGCAGAAAAAGGAAATGAGAGGGGAGGGAAGGTAGTCCGAGGAGGGCAGTAGTGAAGAGAGAGAGTGTGTCAGCGCAAAGGGATAAAAAAAGAAATTAAAATTTGATAAGATCTGAACCAAACCATCACACTAATGAAATTCCTTTAGTTATTATCCGGACAAAAAATGCACAAATTTTTTGTTCGATTTGATTTCAGTTTTGGTTCGATTTTTGACACCTATACTACCAGGGGTTCCAAGGCGGCGACTATACGTGGAAAAGCTATAAACCATTGCAAAATATCGAGGCGCTGAGGTGGTGATATGGAGGATTGCGATAGTCTAAGTAGAACCGACACTCTCCGAGGCCTGTCGTATCGGTGTTTGACATGCTTGAACACACTCCGACATGCAGTCAACACGTGTCGGACATGCAACACGTGGTCAACACGCCGGACATGCTGCCAGTACACAAGTCAACTCGTCATAGAGAGAGAGAGAGAGAGATAAGCGTGGTGGTGAAGAAGAGGTGCAGAGAAAGTTCAAGATGAGAGGCTACACTCTCAAGGTGGACGTCCCCCACGCCGTCAACTCCTTCGCCTCCCGCTTTTCCGACGCCAAGGACATACCCATGCGCGTCGTCATCTCCTCCGCCTCCTGCTTCTCCGGCACCAAGGACAGCGCCCTTCACCTTCTCCTTGATCAGCTTGAGCGTTTCTCCTCTTGCTACTCCCGTTTTATGCTTTGTTTTTTTAATTTTTTGATATAGAAAAAGAAGTAAATTCAAATTATGGTTAGGTGAGAGAAGGAAGGTTGAAATAAGGATGGCCTATCTGTGAAGTGATGGATCATTAATAACTCTTAATTTTCACCACTTTCCCCCCTGTTTTCTCTTTTTCCAAGATTTCTAGTCTTATTTATTAGCTTGACTTTTTTTTATTAATAAATGGTGGATTAATAATTTCAGTATAAATTCATTCAAGGCTTTTTTTATTATTTATTTATGAATTTGAATCAAATTTAAGCATGATAATTTATTATGTATACATAAAAATATAAATTTAAAATACAACGTATCATAACGTATCGGAATTCTCTATTTTTTTAGAAATAACATGTCGATGTGTTATGTCACATGTCGGTATCGGTGTCGATGTCGGTGCTACTTAGGTGGTAGTAACTAGGCTTCAACCAAAGTTCAAAGCCTCGGCCCATTATTTGCCCTAACCGCCTAAAAAGAAAAAAAGAAAGGGAACGATAAAACAGAAACAATACAGGAAAGAGAGAGAGTAAAGGAAAATTCGCACGCATTCGTCTCAACCATTCCGATAGGTTGGGTTAAAAATTTGCACAGTACCCAGAAAGGAATCAAACATTTTGTTCATTTAATCGGAGGAATTCTCAGAGTTAAGTCATAAATTTGAATATTTGTAGCTATCAGTTTTTTGGACTTATTTAGAGCTTATTAAGTTGCGAAATTGTATGAGAATGATAGTTTAGAGTGTAGATCAAAACCTTAAAAATCACAAACTTTAGCTTCAACCCCAATTCTACCATAATCTTTTTTCGTTAAAATAAAAACCCCTCAATTTTCATTCAAGTTATAATTCTACCTCGATGCTAACCTTCCACCTCTCCATAGCTCAACTGTTCATTGTCTTCGACCCAAGATTCATCATCTTCGAGACTCCTTCAAGCTGTATAACAAAAATTGAAGTGAACTGAACTTCAAGATCAAATTCGTTCATGGTCTTCATCTTCGTACTTTCAACACCCCAAGATGAAGTTCACTCTTCGTCTTTAACACAAGATCCCTCATTTTTTTCCTTTTTTTTTTTTG